TAAATCCAGACATTGACTCTCAAGTTGACTTACAGAGAGCTCAATATTTTTTTTCTATTTTAATTGTACATAATTGAACTAACTAGCCAAGCTTTTTTTATTTCTTGTGCACTTTTGGACTCAATGGACTCATGAAGTTGCTTGCCCTCCAGTGTGATGCAGTATTTCTCTTTCTTAGTTCTGAGCACTCAGTGTTTCCACGTTATTTTTGTGACTTGAAGATCCATAGCTATCTTCTCCAGATTATTTTATTTTATTCTTTACATTCAACTTCTTAACACAACGACTGAACTAAATACTGAGGTAAAAGTCATTTTCATGAATCTCTCCTATGTTTTAACTTCAAGGCTCTGCAGTTATCAGAGAAGCTGCTAGTATTTTTGGACAATCATTCTCCTCTTGAACTACCCATCAACAATTCCAATCCTCCCTTCGTTCTACTCCCATCCCCAAGTAAGTACACACCAAAAGGATGATTCAATACTTGTTTGGGAAGAAACATGGAAGACAAGAAAGAGGAAAACAGAAATAAAATAACAAAAAGGAAATCAATTACTTGCTGTCTACGAAAATCTATTTGCAGCTCATGCTACACTTTTTTCTAAATATTTTAAGTGCAGGTGATGTCACATTAAGCACCTGTGCCCATTGCATTTAAAAAGCAGTTAAAAGCAAAACATGCAAAGGAGTTCTTTTATTATAGGTATGCACATTGGCTCAGATTTTCCCAAACTCTGTCTCCCCCAGCATTCACTGCAACAGCTTAGAACCTCAGAGAGCATCAAGTCTTCATTCTGTGGAACAAGTATGAGTCCCTGGTCTCTTTATGATGGATAACAGTAGTTCTAAAACAACTATTGACCATGACACAAATATTGAAAATTAAAGACAAAACCCAACACCTCCATGTTAAGCAAAGCATGCAAAAAGTTTGTTGGGTCTTTTTAATTAAATTTAAGAAAAACTTATCAGACTGTAATCCAACACCACTAACGATACCTACTTCCAACACTATCTGTCTGAAGAGCTTAAATAGTGAAAGAATCATGTTACACAAAATTGCCAAAAAAACCTTACGCTCAAGAGCACGCAGCAAGTCTGTGATATTCTACATACAACACAAACTATTAATAAACCATTAACCCCAGTTCCTCTCAGAGAGAGAGGCAGGCAGACAGTCACAAAGCTCTCCTAAAGTTAAGATGGAAAAGGCCAGGGACAAATACTAAGTCAGTACTGATACTTGATAATTATGATAATCTACTACCATGCATGCCTTACATGCTCTTCGAAGCAAAAAGGAGTTGCTTGGCTTAGCAGGGAGGCTCTCCCCTATTATGCAGGCCCACTGAGCCAAAAGCTATGCAGTACTGTATGGAATAACAGAAGAATCATTTCTGGAACAGTCCAATAAATGCCACTTCATATTTCTTACCATTCAGATCTCCTCTGGCAGATCTATTTCTTTTTCCATTTTAAGGGAGAGAAGAAGAAAAAAATAAAAGTGAAGCAAGATCCACATGAGGAAGGAAATAACTGACTTTAAATAAGCTAATACAATAAACATCAGACAACAAACATTCATTCCTACAGTGAAAATTAATGAAAAGGAAACTAGGACAGCTGCACAGTCCAAAATTGGCACTGATTTTCAGAGAAGGAATAGGATCCCTGAAACTATTACTAGACGGCTCAGGAATCCCTGGCAAAAAATCAAACAGTTTCTTAAAAAAAAAATTGCTGTAATTTAACACAGTATTTATGACAGAGCAAAGTGACACAAGCTTACACTACACTCCAGGCTGAAAACTGAGAGACACAAACAAAAGCCACAATTTATTAATCTTCCCTTGGTCAGCATTTCAGAAGCCCATCTTTCTGGAAAAAAAGAACAAAACACAAAACTGATAACTTGCTTATACATGAAAGATGAGACTTTGTTAATTATTTTCTTTAAATATTTGAATAATAAAATCAAAGTTCATGATCCATGACCAAAGTATCAGATGGCAAAAGGTCTGTACACTAAAGGAAGGCGGGGGGAAAGGAAGAGTTGTTTTTATCTGAATGGAAGAAAACACAATCATATTTGTTATATGGTTATAAAATAAGCCAAGATTAGGAGAGATTCTTCCACAGAAGCTTAAAAGCAGTCAAAATCATTAAGAATGCCATTAGATCCCTATAAATTGCAAATATGTCCTAGCCATAGAAGGAAACACTTAAATTTAAGTAATTATTTGGAAGGAAGTAAAAGAAAAGCATCTGCCCCCCCCGCCCCCATCAGGCATCAATTTCAAATATTCTAAGACCACCTGAAGAGCTAGTCTTAGACTAACGCAGAAATTGTAGCCTACTGCAAAAAGACATCAAGGAACACTAGTTTAGACCAACCTACCAAATAGCATCCAAACTGGGAGGAAAATTCCATGTGTATCAGCTTTTCCTTACATTTTTTAGAATTAGTGGGAAGTTTCCCACTGTAGGAGTATCACAGCTAATTCAATTTGTACATATACATATGTCAGCATAATACACTTTTAAAAAGCAGTAGCTTTTATAATCTTCTACCCTCGGTTAAGCCATTTTTATTACAGGATGAAGTGTTTCAGTCCCCTAAATTCAGCCCAATCTTGTTACAAGTCAGAAGTACAGTTCTGTGATTTACATAAAAGCATTTCCACTGAACTAAGCAGCAACTGACAGATAGGGTAAATGGGTTCCAGATAACATTTAAATAGCTGTACTAATTACACCACACAGAGATAGGAACATGATCCTGTACTCAAATCTTCAGAGTAACCATCCCGAACATTAAAGAGAAGAGAAAAAAAAAAAAATGGTGTGAGCCATAAGACAGCACCAAAGGAATTTAAAAACAATCCACAAACAAACATTCTGCATAAAGGAGGTAATCTCAGCTAATTAGACGCCATAATGATCTTCTCAAAACCTGTTAGAACCGAGTAGTAGTTAATAACTTCACAGATTTCCTCCGATGCTTTCACCAGGAAGGAATGGCAGTTTCTAAATCATTACTGCTCTGTCATCCTGGACCACTGCCAAGAACGTGGAACTTCAGGACACCTGTCAATTAACACATTTCTACTGAAGGCAGGCTCATCTTCCGCCTTTAAATCTATTAAACATTAGTGATAATAAAAAGAAATTAGCCCAAAACCCATGGCAAAATTAAAATTAGAAGTGGCTTTTTGAAGGACAACAGTCCTAAAAAAAAAAAAAAATCATGAAGAGTTGTCTCTGGTGAAGTAACTATATACATACTTTGGAAGATGAACTACATGATGTAATAGACCTTTTTCCATCTCTAGCATCTGTGGCATACAGTAGTACATGCCAAAATGACTGACCACCTGATGGACAATTGTGTCTAAGTGTCAGATCTAAAGCTTCTCTCTAATCAAAGCTTTCTGCAGGGGTTCTCAGTCTAAGTACAGGCTTCTCATTGATTTTTCTTTAGCTCCAGGATGACTACTTTTAACTCGAAGTTGAAAAATACGAAGTTATGCATTGAACCAAAAAAATCCAGGTACGATACATACTAAAACATCAAGGCAAAGGAGCTATTGTGATTTAAGGAAACCAGTGGATTTCTGAGCAAATACAAAAATGGTATTTGCCTAAGTTCAAAGACGCTGATGATGCTGTGCTCTGGGGGAGATGGGGAGGAGAAAGGGGAGAAATTAAGGAGGTCACAGGAAACCCAAAACATCAGCTGTCATTGACTTATATCTGGGTTGTTCAAAAATCAAAAGGTTGAGCCAAGGAAGTTCTAGATTCAACAAGTAAAATTCCAACCAGCGCAAAACCAATGGGAAGGCTGCAATACACGAGCATAGGGCTGCGACGTCCCTGTGGCTTTACGGCAATCTTCCACATGCCAATTCCAAATTACAGTACAACAAAGCCTGTGACTGTTTGATATCCCAGTAAAATTAAAAGCATCAAGAAAGAAGAATGAAGTTAACACTGAAAACATTCTTTGCACTGAAGTCAGCCAGAGAAAATAGAAAATAAATTATTAGTGTGCCAACTGTGGTATTACCTAATAGAACAAAGCCGCATACAGTATAATGCAGAGTACCAAACTGAAGGGCAAACCAGCCCATATATAGAGTGATTACTTCACCATAGTTATCCTTCTCCCTGGCAACTGTTCTGTGGATTCACTTTTCTTGGATTAAAAAAAAAATATTTGTACCTCAAGGTCTTCTATGTCTCTATCACAGAAACCCTTCTTACTCAGGCATTTCAGGAAACACAACCCAGAACTTCAGAAAAGCAGATTATTACACAGTCCTGCTTTTCTGACAACTTGCTATAGTTTATACTCATCAATTTCTGGTCTGCTTCATGAACAAGGCAAGTAATTAGAAAGAAAGCATTAACTTAACAAAGCATGATCAGTCTGAGATGAATCAGCCATGCAACTGCTTGGCTATTGCTGTCTGCTTCTATCTCAGTAGGAACCAGGAATCATCATTCATAAAGGCTACACGTCAAAAGATCAGTTGATCACTGTTTTTTTTTTTAAAGCAGGACTTACCAACCATCGTTATTCAAATTTTAAAAGTTTCTCAAGTCTCATGTAATCACTAAGACTAGCACAATCTCACACAGAAATGACTGCGAGTAACTAATCCCTGCAGTAAGGTTCAAATGACTTTCCAACATTCCCTGTTTTTGATGAGCACTGAATTTCAGTGGCACAAATGGGAATCACTTCCCATCCTAACAACCTAAACAACCACTGTTTAGGGTTTTTTAAAGTCTGTCAGTTAGAACATACAAAAACATAAAAGACTAAACATGAAAGGTAAAGAGAACTGGACTTTTTTTTTTTCTGACTAATCCAGGTGTTGAAACAAGATTTTATGGAGCAACTGTTTCTAGTGGATCAAATCAGCAAACACACACAGTATCAAATTGTGCAGCAGATATCAACATATATAATTTAATCCTACTCCCTGAAACCTTACCCAGTAAGTTCGATAAAGGGCATATCCTGAAGCTAAAGACAACGCTACCACCACCGCCATCTCCTGCATTACATTTATATATAACCACTGGAAGGAAAGCAAACAGAGACAGCAAGCATAAGTTAAGCTTCCACATGCCTTTCAATCACCTATCACGCTTTAAAATTTGGGGGGGATTTATTTCATCCAGCTTTGACACTGCCCTCTTTCTACTACAAAGGAGGTCTGAACAAATTAGCTCAGACTATATGACTGACTTAAAGGTTTCCTGGCTTCTAACATTGCTTGCTTATATTAAGAGATCTGCATCAGATACGCCACAGCTCGTTAAACTGCATCTACTTCTCAAGAATCCTTTGTCCCAAGCAGAATTCTTGATGTTGCCCACCAAGATCTCCTGTATCCTTACAAGGCACCGTACCGGCAGCAGCAGAGACAGTTCACCTTCCACAAATAAACAAAGGTCTTGAACGAACTGTTTCTTCTGTCTCATAAGTATATTTCAATGCTGAAAATAGCGTAAGTCGTTCACGCACATCGTCTAAATTAAGCCAATGAATCTCGGCACAGGCCCAGTGAAAGGACATACATGCAAGAGCCCACATGACCTGATCTATACAGCAAAACCTGCATTCAAAGTACTCAGAGCAAATATTTTTTTTTAGCTTTGAAACCAAAATAGACTGGTAAGACAAGTATCACTGCTGAAATGTCTTCATCCTTCCAGTTTTCTTCACTTCAAAAGACAAGTTGCTACTCTTGCATCTGTTGGATCTAGCTGACCTTCACAATAAATTTGAGTGTGAATTAAAGGAACTTCTAAACTGATGGTCATAAATCAATTTTGGTTCGAAGGGATCTCTGGACATCATCTAACCCAGCCTCCTGCCTGCGACAGGGCGAGAACTGCCTGATGCACAGCTGTGCATCTCTGGGAAGTGTCTGACTTCCTCTTGATAGCTCCCATTAGGTTGTTGAAAAAAAGTTAATCCAATCCTTAAAACATTTTTTCTCCAGACTGAAGAAACCCAGCTCTCAGCCTCTCCTTATATGTAGAATCATCACCATCATTAAATCACTACCTGAGAACAGCAGATCTAATAGGCTCAAATGAGTATTCATCCAAGAGGACAAAGAATAGATCATGTATTTGTGGATGGAGCAAAAAGCTTCTAATACAGTCTGTTGCGCAACAGTGAGCTTTTGCACAGTGGGCAACGTTCCCAGGAAATTCATGAAACTTTTTGATTATGAGATCAAGGTGTCATATCTTTGAAGGACAGTATGAATATTTATTTAAGTCTCATGGGAGAAAGACACTTCAGTTAGATCTTTTTTCTATACTCTTAGGAATAGCGCTTGAAAAGTAAGTGATTTTTTTCCCCCCCTAATTTGAAGTTTCTTTTATTTTGAAAACGTTGTTACCATCAAGGTATCCAAACCCATGGTTTCTACAACAGGCCAACATCCAATTTAAGATAAATGTGTGAGGCATTAATGCCCTGAACGGCAACTTCTGTCAAGTCTCAAAAAACAAAATATTTTACAGCAAGCTACTAATGAACAAAGAAAATGTGTACTGCAAAGACTTGTAGTGCTACCAAATGTTTTTCTCCAGCCTCTATATTAAGATAGCAGTTAGCATTTGTATTCTTCCAACCTCAACAGTGGGTACTGAAAAATGAATTTGCTTGAAAACAGAACCTAAGCAGTTTACAAACAGTGATGCAATGTTGCAAAAGCTCTCACTTTCACGGTGAAGCTCTTGTGCTCCCTTTACATCTGTCTTTTTACGAGGTATCGCTATGCCAGCATCTGAAGAAGAACATCGAAAGATGTCTGGTTTTTCATTTCATAATCCCTACAGTATTCTAGATAGGATTAAAGAATTTCTTCAGTTATTCTAAAGCCGAAGCATGGCAAAATTTAGGGGTTGCAGGATTCGAGTGCATTCCTCAATACTTTACCGCACACCTGAGAGCCTTTCCTGTTACTACTGGATGTGGAGAGACATTTCTACCTCTCCTGAACTTATCCTCTACCCAACACATACGGCTTCCACAAAGGGACGTACAGTTACATTTCAGATTCTGAGAACCATAGAACGGTTTGAGTTGGAAGGGACCCCAAAGATCATCTCGTTCCAACCCTCCACTACACCAGGTTGCTCAAAGCCTCATCCAACCTGGCCTTGAACACTTCCAGGGATGAGGCATCCACAACTTCTCTGGGCAACCTGTTCCAATGTGCCAGAGACCTTGCTCTGTAAAGTCTCTCAGTACACTGGGTTTCATTTTTACTGCAATTTTGGGTGAGGAATATCTTGTTGTTCCCTAGTCAGTCAGGTTCAGATAAGACTCAAGCAAAATCTGTGTCTTTTGGCAAGACAGGAATAAAATACAAGACAGGAAATCATAAGAACAAAAGTACAGAAGAAGGAAACAAAATCCCCACGTGTTCATCCTATTATCACTAACCCTACAGTTTTACAGTCAAGTGTGAACTGAAAAAAGGCTGGTCATGCCAGACTCTTCAGAGCTCAGAACAAGTCTGCCCAAACTTTCCAACCTCCTTTTCTACCAGCTCTAAGAGCATGCAGTGAGTCATTGAGTCATTGACCCAACAGAAATCAATTTGCTTTTCCTTTAGAGTTAGTTTCTAACTCAGATCACCAGGCTGATCCAACTCACCATGGGGCCATACAATTGCTATAACCCATCCACTACTGAAATCAGTATACTGTCAGGAAGTGTGAGGCACCACACCTCTCGTGACAGCATAGTCTTAAAATAAGCAGTCACGAAAAAGAAAGTATCTCTAGTCATCTGACTTGCCGTACGATCAATTTTTAATCTGATCAATCTTCCTAACGTTTCTTGATGAATATCCATTAAATAAAACCTTTCTGTCCAGTGAAAAAAAAAACAAACCACACCACCCAAAAAAAAAAAAAAAAAAAAAAAGAATTTTTTTCCTCCAGACTAATTTCCTCCTCACCCAAAATATTCTGGCCATTCTTCTTAATTGAAATGTTTCATTTCCTCTTCTCAGAGATGCAAAAGTCTTTATCAGACCAGATGTCATCTCATGCACTTGACTAACAATAATAATATTTCATTTCAATGAACGTTAAGATGTTCCATAATTTTTCTACTACTTGATACTCAGTTTGCATTTTCAGATTGTAAGCAGTCTCTCCCTTGAAATGTCTATTCTAACTCGTTTTGGATATTAGCATGCAGATTAGCAAACATAGCTTTTTCACTGGCTCACAATTGCATACATAAAGATAAATTAAACAACAGTGACAACTGGTTTGACCCCAACAGTTTCCATTCAGGGACACTGCAACAATTTAGCACTATTTGTCCTAAGATTCCAGTTTGCCATTTTTATATTTAAAAGCAACTAAGAAACTCTTTGCCTAGTCTTTTGCCATCAAGTTTCACATCTTCTGAAAATGTTATACTAATATTGCATTCCCTGTTTTAATATAGACAGCACCCTTAGATGAGACTTTAGGAGGCTCCTTTCCCTCCTTTAACAATCCGCTCTCTCCCATACTACAACATCCAAGAAACTAGGTGTCTGACAATTGCCCCATTCACATGGCAACTCTTGCAGACTGTATAACCAATGTTTTAGATGCAATTAAGAGAAAGTAGTTCACGATCAATTTCCCTGGATGAACAAGACTTTAAAAAAAATTGCAAAAAAAGAGATGCCTGGATTTCTTACAGAAGACAATTACAATAGACAGCCATTAACCTGCTTACCTACGCTCGCTTAATTTTTTTAAAATGAGCTCATCTTTCTCCACTTCATCTTTCTCCTCCCTCATCCATTCTTTTCCAAGACTGCAGCAATAACACGCTTTTATTCTTTCCTTTTGACTGCCAAGGCCTTAAACTAATTATTAATTGAGAATGTATCTAAAGGATCTGAATGAGAAAGTTGGAATTAACCCAATTGCCTCTTTCCCCCTTTTATTTTACATACCGTAACACTAGATCTACCTGTTAGTACTGCTGAAAACAGTAAACGTGTTATTTTCCTTTCAAAGGCAAGTTTTCTACCTCCTTGGGCAAAAATACGCAACAATGAAAAACAACGTGGAAGAAAGCAAGTACCTGGGAAAGGCCTCAGCTTTGAGTGATGGCCATTAGCAACCAAGCTGCCTAACATTCTCTCAACAACTTTTCTGTCCTGTAGGAAAATCCTGCAGGAGAGGGCATCCTGTGTTTGGGAAATCAGACAACTGACACTTCATTAAAAGACTTGTCCTTTAAAGCGCCTAGAAAGACATGACCTTACGCTGCCTGCTGGTGCAGAGCTGGCTGGTTGTACAACACCGACTCATCTTGTTTCCAGTTGTTAAATTACATTAAAGGACAGCTAAAAATACATTAAATATTTTCCTATTACTTTTCCATGCAAGCAACTGCTGTAGTTACAACAGCAATATCCAAGCAAACGCTTAGTAACGTGGCGGGGGGGTGGAGGGGAAGGTCCAGGAATCCTTCTAACACATTCCAGATCAATAATGTAACATTTGGATTGCAAATACTGAAAAGATTTTTTTTTTTAATTTGTTTTAAGAACAAGAACTGATGAATTTCTAATGATCAAAACAGTAAAACATTTACATTTTTCTAAAAGGTCAAACGGATCTGAGCTATAGTTTTAACTCTCTCTCATCTCATATTTTTGCCCTTTTTTTATCTTCCAAAATACACTGAAACTTAACCAGCCTACCTGTGATACACTAAATTCTGACAAATTTCACACTGGTATGCCCCCTTTTCCCTGCTTCAGACTACCCACAAATGAAAAAACAAACAAGGAAGACCCGTTTGAAAAACCTGATAGTCAACATTTAAAACACTTTGTGACAAAAATGAAAGTCTTAATTGATTAATGATCTCAAGGTCTCTATCGCCATCTAGTGAACACTCACCACCATTACCACACCAACCACCTAAATTGCACCTCGTTCACTGCAATCCAGCCTACATATGGCCAGAGTTGTAAGGCTTTGACACGTTTCTACTGCATGTCTTGCGATAAATAAGGGTCAAGCAGTAGCTCATGTCTCGCCAAGGCTGACTGAAGAGAACCGAGCTCTTACAGATTACGCTCTGTCCTAGCAGCATGATCTGGCTTTATACATGGCCTTTCCACACCCTATTTAATACTTCTGCCATCAAAATGAAGTGAACGTGTCAAACACTAGCATAGTTTTTTAAATGGCAATGTGCAATTACAAGCATAGTCAACAAGCAGTCAACATATGGAACCTCATGGCAGCTCCGCTACTTTTAGTGCATTGGCATCACCAAAGCACAAAGAGAAGTTACCTTCCAGGAGAGGTAGTAAAAAGCACTCAGCGTATCAGACACTCGCAGTACTCAGTCTTCCTACAGCTTCAGTGAAAGCGTCTTCAGTCACACAATTAAAAAGCAGCAATTTACAAAAGTCATCAAAACTCATTCTCTCTCAGCTATGTTAAAACCTAATGCTACGAAGAGTTTCTTCAACTTGAAATAAATATTTCCCACTTTCAATTATTCTTCTTAGACTTATTACGATTGAACTGTAATCGCGTTAGTGCAAATGTTAAGTTGAGTTTTAATCCCACACAGTATTTTTCCTGCCTAGATACCTACAAGCCTACCTGCGTTTACAAAGGTTCCCTCCGCAACGGTAAAAAAAAAGGTATCAATTACTCAGCATCAGAAAAGGTCATTTAAATTTAGATCAATAACATTTTTCCATAATAGTTACTTTTTAATTAACCTTTTCATATTGAGAACCCAAATCTCCTGACACGTAACGTTCATCCCCTTCATATCAGCATTTAATGGTAAGAGGAAACCTATGAATAGAAAGACTAATATAAAATTTTAAAGTAGTGTTTTTCCAGATTAAATATTTCTACTTAAAAAACCCCAGAAGACTAAGATATCCTCTTGTGCTATCTTTTATGGTAAAAACTGCTACTCAAGAAATATGGAATAAAGCTGTATCTGTTTATCGACTAAAAATGCAAGTTTTCAGAACAGAGCATATACAGTGTATTTCGTCAAAATCTATCATACATCATACATACACAGAAGCACAGAATTACAGATCATCCTGAAAAATTCTCAAATTTTCAGAAGTTTGTTATCTCCACAGTATCCAGAGTAATGAATACTAATCTACTTCAAAGAATGGGGAAAAAAAAATAGGTTTAGCTCTACAGGAGATGCTGTAATGCTCAGAAGAGACCTACCAAGACAGTAATGCCCCACTGAGCTCAGCACTAGTGCTGCCAGATGCAGACCAGCTCCTGCAGACTTCCACTGACATGTCTCTGTTGTGCTCCCAGCAGCCACATTTCATAGAGGAACTTTTGGATCTGCACTAGGTACAACACACTTTCAGGCAACATTGTACCAGAGTTTTCCCCCAAACTCAGAGCAACTACAAAACTGGAGATTCAAATGTGTGGAAAGGCTTGGCAGAAGGAAGCCCAGGTCTAGCACCACCAGAATTTAAGAGGTAAGAAATCCTTTCCAACCAAAAATCAACTGTGTAAAAGGAAATGTCTCAAAGTGCTCCCTAGCACATCCTGTACCACCTATTTAGGTTTCTCCCATCACACCAGCACTTTGGAACATAATGCAGGAACACCAGCATTTCATGCATCATTATCTCATACCTGATAAGTCACAGACAATTGAGAATAAACTGTATGTGCAAATACATAATGCATTTTCCCCCTTTAACAGAGGCCAAAGCTCAAGTATCCATCCAATACCCAGTTTGTGACAGGTGCTCCATATGACTAATGGAGATCATAAAAAAATCCAAAAACGTCAAATTCATGACTTGTAAAATACTGCTAGAAAATATAAAGCTACGATACTCCACTGCTTTTCATGCCAACCTAGTAGATGAATACATCAGAATCTCACAACAACAACAAAAAAAGATACCAGTTCCTTAAAGGAAACATTGAATTCACATGGATGCATAGGGCATAAACAGTTATCAAACCTGGAAATTATTTCCTAGTTAAACACACATGTAAGGTTAAACATACTCGTTACATAAATTGGGAGGACAACAAATACGGGGTTGTCTCTGGAGAACCGTTTAGGCGGCAAGACTTTTAAGAACAAAGATGTGTTATCAGAAACAAAACGCCCATATGCACATCAGTTGGGGGTTGTACGTGGACCTGGGTAGTCTACAACAAGGAGAGCTGTGTCCTCACGTCACAGGGAACACGCGCCTCTAGACACAGATGTGAACTCATCCATCTCCCTGGCTCAACTAAAACGGAGACCAGTCATCCTGCCACGTCTGTTCCCAGCACCTTTGCAGATTCCTGCTTGGTATTCTTTTCTATACAGAACTAATATGAAGTATCATGAAAAAATGTGTTGCAAGACACTGTATACCAGTGGCATGTTTTGTATCTTTAATGATTATTTTTCCCACTGGGGCCAAACTGATGTGGTCTGCATTCAGCTGCCACCCTAATCAACAGCAAGAGTAGTTTTGCCTATAAAGTGAAGAGCAATTCTTAAAATAAAATCTGGCCTTTTGAGGCTAATGCAAAGCTTCATTTTAAGGAACAAACAGTTTCTAAAAATAATGTCCTGACACATAATCCATTGTCACCATGTGATTAATTAGCCCTGTCACAAATTTGAGGGTTTCAGGAACTCAACATACCAAGGTACAGGACAGTCTGGCCAAAGACAAGCTCACACAAAGCTGAAGCACACCACCAAATCAAAGACTAACCCATCAAGCAGAACCGACAATTCACAGAAAATGTGAAAGCAGCCTCGATTTTTTTGTCACCATAATCGGGCCCATTGAAACTAAGCAATTTCATTCAAGAGAAGGCTCTAGCTAGAGCTTCAATTTGCCATACTTTTTGAGACATTTATCTGATTCTTTTCTAGACACCAGTTTCAATTTTTTTCCCTAACTTCTGCAGCACAAGAAAGATAAAAACTACAGTTCTGAAACCAAACGCAGGTTCGAAAACAAGACCATTCTTCTATACAGTGAGAAAGTAGGTGGCTTAAATTCACCCTTTTTACATGTGTGTACAGCCTGTTTAATGACTTACCTCTCTCCCTTTATGCGTTACCAAAGCAGCCAAAGGCTTAGCATAGAATCTGCTGTAGGAAAATCCCAGGCAGCCATACATACTGTTAGCGGTGAGTTTCAAAGCCTTCTGTCTGATATCATACTGAAAAGAAGCATAACCAGCAAAAGTGATACAACCATAGCCAACAGAGAACAGAACCTGATGCTCACAATTACATCCACAATTTTTTATACAGCCTGCAGCAATGATGGGATACAAGTAAAGCACATTACAATCACTGCTCGCTATTCTGCAAGGCTGATCAGGGCACTTAAGGGGTGTGGGAGGAAAATCAAAGGAGTTCTATAAAACACACCTGTAAATAAAGGTCAGGATTTAAATCTGGCTGTTTCATTAACTGCTTAACTTGGCGCCTTCTCTCCACCAGCTTCCTGATTTCTTTAGGCAAAATTCCCATTTCCAGGGACGGGTCCGGAAGCTCTGGAATTTCTTCCTCTTCTTCAACCTGTCAAATGATCATCACTGCTTATAATATTTTTTTTTTTCTCTTGAAGATTAGATTTTAGCGAACTAAGTGAAAAGCTTGGGAAAAAAAGCTGAAATCACACAGCTTATATCTATTCCTGTAGAGCACCCAAAGCACAGTTTAGAAAACAAGCGTGAGAGGTTTTTTTTGTGGTATTTAAATTTATTACTTAGTCCTGGTTGGGGGACAGGGACTAAGCCTTGTCATTGTCTGGAAGAAACCCAAGAGAGACATGGACGAGTAACAGGAAGATTTTTTTTTTTAATGTATGTATTTTTTATATCTATGTGGTGTATATATATAAATTCAGATAAATAAAACACACATACACACACTCTCACTCTTAGGTATACATAGAGAGACATAAAAGTACTACAAAAAGCAAACACACGAGCAATTCTTTCCATGCTGAAAAAATCCATCCTTTTTTATTTCTGCGTAAGTATTTTTGGTGTTCAGAACTGTAAAATGGAGCTCGTGTTCTGTGGAGCTGATACTTTGGATAAGATAACTGACAAAAGAGATACTGTCAGTAACAAAGAATGAAAACTCCACCCCAAGCAACTCTTTATTATAACAAAACAACCACCTAACAGAAAGTACACATTCTTCTTGTTACCATAACTGAAAAAATACTTGCTCAGCAAAAATGGAAATACATTTCAAGCATAATGAAAGAGACAGAAATATACAAATAAAGGGCAATAGAGACACTATGAGGCAGCAAGTTTAGTAAAGCAGTCTATCTGGGAAGAACCATAACAAGAAATGACACCAAAACCTGATTAAGTATCATACCATGATAGAAATCAAAATAAGCTGCTGCAGTTTCAAGCACACTTAAGAGAGCTGGGTAAATCCACAGACAGTTTGGAGGAACTTATTGACCGAGTTCCACATACCTATTTCCTCATTTCTGCTATGGTACTGATATTTCAGTTGCTATGGGACTATGTCCCATAACTACTTATGCACAACATACCAATTCCAACCTGTGAGTTGATACCAGTTAAAAATAAAAGCCTCAGGTTTAACCTTTAGACTTGACCAGCTCACTGCTTAAGTTTACAGCACAGCTCCACCAACAACTGTGCCAGCACAGCTGAGGAAATGAGAATAAGCAGCCACAGATAAGCCACAGCCAACACAGCTGCTGAGAAAACAGTATGTGGAACTACACCTTCAGGAGGTTTTTCAGTTGTGTTTAATACAGTTTAACGCTGTATTAAACAGCATGAGCTTCTGTGAAGCTGGTCCCGCAGCTGACATAGTCACAGCATCGCTCCCTGACCCACACCCTCAAGACACACACACAGTTTTCCTGTTGATCTCATACTCCATTCCTTCCCCTATAAGACTTGTGTCTCCCTCATTCAGGTCTGTTCACACAAATTCTGTGGCAACTTAACTTTAGGAAGCCTCTACCAAGTTAGAATGAAATTGGTCAAGGAGCTCTGAAATTGCTAGGAGGACCTGGGGCTGAAAAGAGCCAACAGACCTCACGAAAAATCTTGTTTCATGAAGATACCAAGATTTTATTTAGATGGGAGACAACTTACCAAGATTCCATAAAAGTATTACTGAAAGGAAGAGGACAGACATACAATACTCAAAAAGTCCCAAACAAAAACTTACTATGATGCATCTTTAAACAAGAATCACTTTTTTTAAGTGTGAGGGGGAAAAAAAAAAACAAACACCACATTAAACAGTGAAAAAGAACAGTTTCTTAAAAAGCTGATTCACAGAAAACACACTGAAATTAAAACAGAGTAACTTAAGTCACAAGTTAAAGTCCACAAACCTCTGCCCTTTTCTGTGCTTCTGATGACAATCGCTGCACTGTGGTAAAGCAGATGTTAAACTCCTGGATAATCGATGGGTACAAGCTGTTGAAGTCGAGAAGCAAAATAAACTTGTCATAAAAACCTAAAACAGAGTTTAAAACAAAAGTCATAATTACTCAGTCTCCCTCAGGACTTTATCCAACTCCACAATTCATATTTAAGTGATGGTAATACATTGTAACACACTACCCTTCCCTTAAAGTACCTGTTGAGATGCATCACTACCCATTATAGAAAGCTGTCAGAAGTGGAACGATCCAACCCCATTAACTCACCAGAGTTGAACAGATAGCTTCTGTGTTACTATAGGACACTTGTACAGTTTTCCCCACATAGAGGAGAAACTGAAAGAAAACTTACGTGTCCATTAGAAAATTATACACAGATTTACAGTCCTAATCCCTCACAAGACCATAATCTTCTCAGAAAAAGATAAGAAAAGAACATCGCGAGAATAAGTAATTCCACAATCAATGTTGTTAATTTTCTGGTATGGAACAACCATCCGCCCAAACCACCACGCCAAACTCCCACGAGATACACACATGGCACTCATTGCAATCTATCTGCATTAATACAACCTACCTGCCTCTAACTTCATAAAAGAAAGAAAATTGCCACATCTTACCGACTTTGGGATCCAAGACTAAGCCCCCAGCATATGCTGCTTTCTTTTTCCCTATCTTTGATTTATTCTGATCTTCAAAATCTTCATCTTCATCCACCTACATTTGGCATTTAAAAAAAGTCATTACCTAGTCTCCAAGATTTCTATGCTGTTGGAGGAGTTATTTTTGGCAAATCAAACATGAAATTGGGAGCCAGTGCACAGAGTTCCTTTTAAAACACATGCAAAACATGGTGTTTTCATCATGATCCTTATTAAAGCTCTCTACATGTCAAAATAGCATTCAAACCAGCTCCTATTGGAAGAAACTGCTAACAAGAGATTACAAAGACCTTATGGAATTGCCATCATTCAACATAGCACTAGCATGCATTTTCTGGATGGCTGTAAAAGTCAACACTAGGGAAAAAAAAAAAAATCAACTCATGACCCAGAAGAAATATTATTGCCCGATTAAAACATAGGTTTTTGGAAATACAATGGCTGGGCTTTAATGAAACAATTTAAAACAATATTACTGACCTAAAGAGTATTTTGCTATTTGTTTTGTTGTTGTAAGAAATTTTCTCCCAGTTGTCCAACACTATTCTGAATAATTTAAAATTCCAGCACTGCTTTGATGCAACAATACAATCAACAAAACGCACTGCTTTGGAATTTGCTGTTGAACTTATTTAAATAAGTAAAACTAAAAAGCAAAATATAGTGAAATACAAATACATCTGCAAATTTTGATTTGTTTACTAACAAACATATAGATGTTTCTATAAATATATTTACACTAGTATTATCTAATTTTTTTTAATACCCTTGCATATTTTACCCACATTCTCAAATCATCCACTTTACAAATTATACTTGAAATACTGTTCATCAGTGAAATAACTGCAGGGCAAATGTGCATCTATTAAGCAACAAAGACTATCTTCTTTACTATTTCCC